AGAGAGAGAGAGAGAGAGAGAGAGAGAGAGAGAGAGAGAGAGAGAGTTCTTCCGATACTGTACCATTTGTCCTCCCTCATGAAAGATCTCATCTAAATCGATCGTATGACGAATAATGGAAAAATAAGCTACAGACGAAATACTACAAAAGCTTAAAGTTAAGAAGAATCATAGGAGAACGTTTCTTTTTTCATTTGGAAGCCTTTATGAGGAAATGAATCATCGGGACAACACGTTTTTGCCCAGTACATTCCACAGTGCAGCAGATTCATGGAAACCAGATGATGAATGATGTCGGTACATTTGCACATCGTCATCTGAAGATATTTGTTGCGTTTATCATCTCAGCTCTCAGATTTCTTCCTTTCTTGTACCACTGCTAAAGATTTGATGCCTGTGTTTGTAAATGTAAAACTGCCGAGGTGTCCTTCATGCTTGAATTGTCTCGTTTCCGTGCGTGTTTGTTAGTTCATGGCTACGAATGGCAACGAGCTGATGAGGAGTAAATATGAGGCTGCTGTTCCCGTCTACTACTACAAACCAACCCACAAAGACTGCCAGTGAGTAGCCATAGACACACATACACACATTAAAACAAATGTGCTGTCAAATGTACAATTCATACATTTTCTGTTTCAAACATTGTTTTTGTATTTTGTACAGTAATGTGAAAACAACTGGATGTATTCAAGCTTCTCACTAAAATGTGAATGTGAACACATCATGATAACGTTATAATGTACCTTCAGCCAATACTCATGTTCACTGAGCAGAGCCTGAAGGCATCATAGTGTAGATTGACAGGTCTCTACCAGAGACGTATACGGCGTCTCTACGTCCTCCTCAGTCCAGATATGGTCACTTCCTGTTTATCGGTTGCAAAAAAAAATTCCATGATTGCGACGGCGAAATTGCCTAACTCGAGGCTTCAAAATATTCAGTCCACAAACCAACAGGTGACGTCACGATGACTACGTCCACTTCTCATACACAGTCTGTGTGTGTCACAAACCATTTGGAGCTTCAGGTCAACTTCAGGAGAAACTACTTCTACATTTTCAACAACTTTATTTGATCATAGAAAGCAGTTTGTGTTTCGCTGCTGACGAGAGAAAAGACCACTGATGTGTAGGCTAAGTCGTTCAAGTACTTAAATACAGTTATTGTCTGCCGTATCGTGGAGTGTTTTTTTGTCGACTGTCTCTTTGCTGCAGAGCTGCAGCCTCCAGATTACCTGAGACTCTCTGTCTCTAGTGTGTGTGTGTGTGTGTGTGTGTGTGTGTGTGTGTGTGTGTGTGCTGCTGTGGCTGCACCGGTGCAGCTCCCACACAGGAATGTTAGGAATGCTGTTAATATGAAGCAGGGAATTATTCTCATTGGACAAGAGCAAAAAAAACGTCTCATGTAACCTGTCGGTTGACAAAGTCTTTGCTTAACTGAGGAAAACACAGTGCGAGTGTTGAATTTGCCTGAGGGCAGCTCAAATGTCCACGCCCTTCTTACACATACACACACACACACACACATACACATACATACATACATATATACACACACATGAAGCTCCTTCTTTATCTGGTCACATGGTTTTGGGACAAACCATTTTTTTTGATTCGCTGTTTGCTCACAGCTGCTACTTTTCTTACAAGCTCACTCTGTTGACATTTCGTCTGTTCTTTTGTGTGTTCAGGACGTTGAGGGAGCAGTGGATTAGAGCAAAGTACGAGAGGAAGGAGTTCTCCGAGCCTGGGAAGAACTGCACGTATGAGGAAGGTGAGTGTGTGCCCACACACACAGACACACACACACACACACACAGAACACATTCACGCTGATAACGAATGACATTTGCTGTTTTTTTCTGCAGGAACTAGAGATGGCATGTTGATGAAGAGGGGGCGGGACAACGGGCAGTTCCTCAGCAGGCGATTCGTCCTCTCGGAGCGGGAGGGGACTCTGAAGTATTTCACCAAATATGACGTAAGCAGCAGTTGTTAATCAGACAACACGCGCTTACACCTAAGACTAACCCGGACCCGCAGCACAACCAGTACCCTGCTGTAATCAGACACTTTATAACACACTTTATAATCGTACCAAACGCCCACTACAGTCATGTGTACCTGCCTCCTCTGCTCAGACGAGCTCAGCAGCCTCCTCTCTGATTCACTAAGCTGTACTCCGCCCACAGCAGTCCGGGCTGTCTGTCACAGTAAACCAGCTCGAGGGCTGTGGGAGTAGTATGTTTAAGAATACTACCAATAGACTGTCACTCTCATTTGTGGATGTGGATTTCCACATTATGTCTCGGCAGACGGATGTCTCTTTTTATTGTTATGATCTTCCTCCAGGACTGTGTTTCTCCCTGTGTAATATGTCGTGTTCTGCAGGTTACTCTCTCACAGTCACAGCCGTGATAAAAGTCAAAGTGTCGCTCGGGTGCTCCGGGGAGCTGGTTTGGGTTTCAGAACATTTTTGAGCTGTGTAAAATATTCAGGCCCAAGAACACTGAGCAAAACATTACAATACACCAAAACCAATGTTGGTAATAATCATTGACATCATAAAAACATCCTCATACAGTCACAGCAGTGACATAAGTTTATGTTTAAGGATTATTTACACAGTTTAACTATCACAATGTGAAATAAAGATCAGGACATAATTTATGCTTTCTGTTCGCTGATCTCTGAAGATATTAGGAGGAGAGCTAGTAACGTTAGCAGCACCGCTAACGAGGTTTACTTCAGTTACACTATGATGCCTTCAGGCTCTGCTCAGTGAACATGAGTACTGGCTGAAGGCACATTATAACGTTAACATGTCATCTGTAAAATGTAGTTTTGGTGATAGACTCGAATAAATCCAGTAGGTTGAAGGAGATGTTTTCACATGAATATGAAATAGATATTAGAGATGAACTATGAGCTGTTTGACTTCCTAACATGAGCTCTAAGCACATAATTATATATCGTCAAAGATAACAATGACTAGATTTGTTTTAACCAATAAAAATACAATCTTTTATTTCCTTATCATTTGAATTCTGTGTTTTTATAAAGAAAAAACTATAAATGACTAAAACAAAGTGAAGTAAAACAACAAAGGGATCAGTGACGAGTAGATAATAGCTCCAGAGTTTATTGTCATGTGGCCCCAAGCCTCGATACCCGGCACACACTTTCACTCCAGAACTCTACTTCTTTTATGGTGAAGCAGCAAAAAGTCAAAAAAATTAATTAACATGAACGATCAAAACAAGGACGGCAGGACGAGGTTAATTCATTGTATCATGAAGATTGGAATAATAAAGCGAAATTTTAGATGGAATAAAACAGCATTAAGAACAGAATGTGGATAAACATGTTGACAGTGAAATAATCAGATTTACAGTAATCGGTCTGCATCAGTTGATCCTCGTGTTGCTGAAGAGAGGACACGTCTGCAGCTACAGTGTGAGGACTCCGTGTTGTTGAGCCGTGCATCATTAGAGCTTCGTTTGTTCTCACGCTTGGTGCCGTAGCAGACGGCGAGCAGCGAGCTCCGAGCATGAACGGAAGGTTTATACTCTCTGAGCTGCGTTATTCTCCAGAGGACCAGAGGACGTACAGACAAAGTGAACTGTGAGGAATCAGACAGACACCGAGTGTAACTCAGAGACTGAAGGTGTAACCAACAAAAAGCCATAAACTAACCTCCACTATAGAGAGGAGGGATTGTAATGATCTGTAAACTCATATCTCATATTCATGGATACTTTATACAAACAAAAGAAAGAAGTCCAGTATTAAATGTGTTATGAAGAAACAAATGTTGAACATCCTGTAAACTGTTTGATTTGGCTGCAAAATATCTCAAATGTAGATTTTGAAGACCCCCCTCCCCCCCCTCTCTGCTGCAGGCTAAGGAGCCCAAAGCAGTGATCAAGGTGGACACCATCAACGCCACCTTCCAGCATGAGAAGATAGGGAACCCCAACGGCCTGCAGATCACCTACCTCAAAGACTACAGCACCCGCAACATCTTTGTCTACCATGACAACGGCAAGGTGTGTGTGTGTGTGTGTGTGTGTGTGGTGATCAGTGCCTATGACGAATATAAAGAGAAAGAAACAGTTTATTTCCAGAGATGCATTGTGGGACTGTAAGAAACTAACCTACCTTAAAGCATCACTGCCGTTGTTGGTTGGTGTTTTTTGTGGGCGAGTCTCTGAAACCTCCTCAAACCGTTTGCACCACTTTCTGCTGATGGACATCCGTCAGCTTATGACATTCAAGCTCCATATCTGTCCTTTAGTGTCATTCATGAATACACATTGACATAATTGATAAATATATTTGATTCAGTCTTTATAGCTGCACATTATTATTTTAACTATGACAGACTTTAAATAATATAATCACACTTTATGATTCTGTAAAGAGTAAATTAAAGGTGAAAAAAGAGGCTTTAAATAAGTGGCCATTATATATATATATATATATATACAGTATATACATCGATATATATATGTATTTATATATATATAATATGTACAGTTAGATATCGAGGAACAGCAATACACAGGAACACGTCATGGAGGTATCCTCTCTCTGTCTCCATTAGGAGATCGTGGACTGGTCTAATGCCATTCGTGCAGTTCAGCTTCACTATTTAAAGGTGGCCTTTCCAGGGGCTACCGATGCTGAGGTGAGCACTCACACACACACACACACACACACACACACACACACACACACACACAC